GTTGTCAGTTGTTGTTGTTGGGCTGTTGTTGTTGGGTTGTTGCTGGCTTGTTGTTGGCTACTTGTTGCTGGTTGTTGTTGTTGGGTTGTTAGTTGGGTTGTTGTCGGTTGTTGCTGGTTGTTGCTGGGTTGTTGTTGTTGGGGTTGTTGTTGGGTTGTTGCTGCCGTTGTTGGCTGTTGTTGTTGCCGTTGCTGTTGGGCTGTTGCTGGGTTGTTGCTTGCTGGGTTGTTGTTGCTGGGTTGTTGCTGGCTGTTGTTGGGTCATTGTTGCTGGTTGTTGTTGCTGGGTTGTTGCTGGCTTGTAGTTGCTTGTTGTTGGGTTGTTGTTGTTGGGTTGTTGTTGTTGGGTTGTTGTCAGTTGTTGTTGCTGTTGTTGTTGCTGGTTGTTGTTGGGTTGTAGCTGGGTTGTTGTTGTTGGGTTGTTGTTGTTGGGTTGTTGCTGTTGCTGTTGGGTTGTTGTTGTTGCCGTTGCTGTTGGGTTGTTGCTTGTTGCTGGGTTGTTGTTAGTTGTTGTTGTTGGTTGTTGCTGTTGTTGTTGTTGGGTTGTAGTTGCTTTGTTGTTGGGTTGTTGTTGCTGGGTTGTTGTTGCTGGGTTGTTGCTAGGTTGTTGCTGTTGTTGTTGCTGGTTGTTGTTGCTGGGTTGTTGTTGTTGGGTTGTTGTTGCTGTTGTTGCTGGGTTGTTGTTGCTGCTGTTGCTGGGCTGTTGTTGGGCTGGTTGCTTTGTTGTTTGCCGTTGTTGTTGCTGTTGTTGGGTTGTTGGTTGTTGCTATTGTTACTGTTGCTGTTGCTGTTGCTGTAGCTGGGCTATTGTTGTGTTGTTGTTGCTGGGCTGTTGCTGGGTTGTCTGTCAGAGTCACTATTGTTGCTGGGTTGCTTGTTGTTGGGTTGTTGTTGTTGTTATTGTTGTCTATTGCGGGTTGTTGTTGTTGTAGCCAGTTATTGGTTTATGGGTTGTTGCTGTTGCTGTTGTTGTTGGGTTATTGCTTGCTGGGTTGCTGTTGCTGCTGTTGTTGGGTTGTTGTTGTTGGGTTGCTGGTTGTTGGGTTTGGCTTGTTGTGGTTGTTATTGCTGGGTTGTTATTGCTGGGTTGTTGTTGTTGGGTTGTTGCTGGGTTGTTGTTGTTGGGTTGTTGCTGTTGGGTTGTTGCTGTTGTGTTGTTGTTGTTGGGTTGTTGTTGTTGTTGTTGTTGTTGGGTTGCAGTTGCCATTGTTGTCTGTTGTTGTTGCTGGGTTGTTGTTGGGTTAGTTGTTCAGTTGGCTATTGTTGCTGGGTTGTTGCTGTTGGGTTGTTGTGGGTTGTTATTAAGGTTGTTATTGCTGGGTTGTTGTTGTTGGGTTGTAGTTGGGTTGCTGTTGTTGGGTTGTTGTTGTTGGGTTGTTGTTGTTGGGTTGTTGTTGTTGGCTGTTATTGTTGGGTTGTTGTTGCTGGGTCGTTGTTGTTGGGTTGTAGTTGCTGTTATTGTTGGGTTGTTGTTGTTGGGTTGTTGCTGTTGGTTGCTTGCTAAGGGGTCGCTGTTGTTGCTGGGCTATTATTGTTGTTGTTGTTGGGTTGTTGTTGTGGGTTGTTATTGTTGGCTGGTTGTTGTTGGGCTCGTTGTTGGGTTGTTGTTGTTGGTCATGTTGCTGGGTTGTTGTTGTTGGTTGTTACTGTTGTTGTTCTGGTTGTTGCCGTTGTTGCTTGCTGTTGTTGTGGGTTGTTGTTGTTGCTGTTGCTGCTGGGTTGTTGCTGTCATTAAGTTATTGTTGGGTTGTTGCGGGTTGTTGCTGTTGCCGTAGTTGCCATTGTTGTTGTCAGAAGCCGTTGTTGTTGCTGGGTTGTTGTCTGGGTTGTTGTTGCTGGGTTGTTGTTGCTGGTTGTTGTTGCTGTTGTTGCTGTTGGGTTGTTATCTGGGTTGTTGCTGGGTTGTTGTTGCTGTTGTTGTTGGGTTGTTGTTGTTGGGTAGTTGGGTTATTGTTGCTGGGTTGTTGTTGCTGTTGTTGTTGGGTTATTGCTGGGTTGTTGTTGTTGGGTTGTTGTTGTTGTTGTTGTTGGGTTGTAGTTGCTATTGCTGTTGGGTTGTTGTTGCTGGGTTGTTGTTGGGCTGTTATTGGGTTGTTATTGTTGGGTTGTTGCTGTTAGTTGTTGTTGGGTTGTATACACGCTTATTCAATGTTAATTTCTAAGATAACTCAAATCAATATTTAATTCAACCTAAGTGTTGTAGTTAATTTCTTCTGAACTGCTGTAAAATTAATGTCATGATCAATTAAATAGGCATTAAAATAATTAATACAGCTTAGTTAATATTAAAAGTACTAATGATTTTTAGCATTACAAAAGATCAGAGTGAAATAAAAGAGAGTAAGAGAGAGAAAGAGGAGGAGGAAGAGAAAAGAGAGAGAGAAAGACAGGAAACAAAGAACAGACACACACACACACACACACACACACACACACACACACACACACACATTCAAACCAGAGGGTAGAAGCGCGCCAAATTATCGCTCACCACAGAGTCCTTGATGATATAGTACCTTCCACCCTCCCTAATCCGTCTTTATCACACCTTCTGGCTCCCCCACTCAACAAATACATTATTTAGTTGTTTTATATCCCACTTACATCCCCTTTATTCTCCCCAGCCCTGAATTACACGATTTATTATGAATTAACCTTGAGATGAGAAGGGTTAACGAACTCTTCCCGCCAAAACCTGCGCGGGAAACATCAGCGAGACCTCGATTACTTGACCTTTCTACCTATTTCCGCTTCTATCGAGGTTAAAAGACACCAGGAGGAATTTATAATTATTTTTCCTTCTATTGGTAAATATAAATATATATCTCGATTATTATTTACGATAATTGTCTCATATATTAATTAATTGATTTTAAATATTACAAGTTAAATATAATTAATTTCAATGTTATTTAATGTAATTTTCTCTTAATAAAAGATTAAGTTGTTTTTGTTAGTTATTTGGGTATTTATTATTTGTTCATGTGATAGAATATTTATGTCGGTAGGAAGTGTGTGTGTGTGTGTGTGTGTGTGTGTGTGTGTGTGTGTGTGTGTGTGTGTGTGTGTGTGTGTGTGTGTGTGTGTGTGTGTGTGTGTGTGTGTGTGTGTGTGTAAAAAAACAGGAAAACTCCACCAACCTCACCATAACGGGGCCACAACCCTTACCCTTCCATAAGACTCACTATACCACAGAAATCATATGAGAAAAACGACCTTATTAGCCTTGATGTTAAGCATGTTATTCCTCCGAGTTTTGTTATATCGGGGTTATAGTGTTATATTATAGAGCTATATAATGTATGACTATATGAAGAAAGATGTTATTTACGTGTTGGTGTTTGTGAGGGCGAGAAGGTGGTAATTGATGGGAGAGTGGAGAGGATTTTCGACCGTATGAAAGAGTTGATGCACACAAGCACGCACGCGCATACACACACTCACATACACACACACGCACACACACACGCATAGAGACATACATGATGTTTTATCTCGGCTTTGTGGAAATTTATGAAAGCGAAAGTGATAGTGAGGAACCCACCCCAGCATTGTCCAGTTGTGTGTCTGTTTGGATGTGTGTGTGTGTGTGTGTGTGTGTGTGTGTGTGTTTATTCGCTCCAACAAACCAGGAGCGAACTCGTAACAATGGTTTTAAATTAGACAAACTTAGATTTAGGCGTGAAATTGGTAAACACTGGTTTGGAAACACAGTAGTGGATGAATGGAACAAGTTACCAAATATCATCATTAACTCGAATACACTGGATAGCTTCAAACACAGGTTGGATGCTTATATGAGCAATAGGGGTTGGGTGTAAATGGGACTGCCCAGTATGGGTCAATAGGCCCGCTGCAGTTTCCTCCATTCTTATGTTCTTATGTTGATGTTTGTGTTTTTGTGCTGTGCTTGTCTGTGTTTGAACTACCACCACTACCACTACCACCACCGTCACCACAATCACTACTACTACAATCACCACCACCACCACTAACACTTCCTATTGTTACAGGCAAGTGACCAACCTCTACCACAATGGGTCAGCCTCACCACAATGGGTCAGCCTCACCACAATGGGTCAGCCTCACCACAATGGGTCAGCCTCACCACAATGGGTCAGCTTCACCACAATCAATAACAATGGGTCAACCTCACAACAATGGGTCAACCTCACAACAATGGGGCCTCAACAATGGGTCAACCCCACCACAATGGGTCAGCCACCACAGTGGTCAGCCTCACCACAATGGGTCAGCCTCACCACAATGGGTCAACCTCAAACAATGGGTCAAACCCACAACACAAGTGGCCCCCACCCTCACTATTAATGGGTCCACAAATGGATCAGCCTCACCACAATGGGCGGTCAGCCTCACCACAATGGGGCCTCACCACAATGGTCAGCCTCACCACACGGGTCAGCTTCACCACAATGGTCAGGCCTCACTCACCACAGCTCTCACTCAATAATGGGTCAGCCTCACCACAATGGGTCAGCTCACCACAATGGGTCAGCTCAATTATAATGGGGTCAGCCTCACATGGTTGGCTCTGGCGTGACGACTTTGTTTGACTGAATGATATTATTAAAGTTTTATTTTACTTCAACTATGAATAGACCCCTGTGTGTGTGTGTGTGTGTGTGTGTGTGTGTGTACAGTATATGTGCATGTATATTTATGTATGTGTATATGTATGTATGTGTGTCTGTGTATATGTATGTATGTGTGTATGTGTGTCTGTGTGTATGTATGTGTAAGGTGTGCATATATGTGTATGTGTATATTTATGTATGTATGTATGTATGTGTGTATGAGTTTATTTATGTATGTGTATGTATGTATGTGTATATTTATTTATGTGTATGTATGTATGTGTGTATGTATCAGTAATATAAGGTCTATTTACCATCAAGTATAATATATACATCAATAACCTCACTAATATGAATCATTATCTCTATTAATAATCTATATAATTCATTTCTTTTATCGTATATATCATTTAAATTGGTATAGTCTGGTGCATTGTGGGTCTGTGCATTGTGGGTCTGGTGCATTGTGGGTCTGGTGCATTGTGGGTCTGGTGCATTGTGGGTCTGGTGCATTGTGGGTCTGGTGCATTGTGGGTCTGGCATTGTGTCTGGTGCATTGTGGGTCTGGTGCATTGTGGGTCTGGTGCATTGTGGGTCTGCATTGTGTATGGTGTATTGGTCTGGCATTGTGGGTCTGGTGCATTGTGGGTCTGGTGCATTGTGGGTCTGGTATTGTGGGTCTGGTGCATTGTGGGTCTGGTGCATTGTGGGTCTGTGCATTGTGGGCCTGGTGCATTGTGGGTCTGGTGCATTGTGGGTCTGGTGCATTGTGGGTATGGTGCATTGTGGGTCTGGCATTGTGGGTCTGGTGCATTGTGGGTCTGGTGCATTGTGGGTCTGGTGCATTGTGGGTCTGGCATTGTGGGTCTGGTGCATTGTGGGTCTGGTGCATTGTGGGTTTGGTGCATTGTGGGTCTGGTGCATTGTGGGTCTGGTGCATTGTGGGTCTGGGCATTGTGGTCTGGTGCATTGTGGGTCTGGCATTGTGGTCTGGTGCATTGTGGGTCTGGTGTATTGTGGGTCTGGTGCATTGTGGGTCTGGTGCATTGTGGGTCTGGTGCATGTGGGTCTGGTGCATTGTGGGTTGGCATTGTGGGTCTGGTGCATTGTGGGTCTGGTGCAGGGTTTGGTGCATTGTGGGTCTGGTGCATTGTGGGTCTGATGCATGTGGGTCTGGTGCATTGTGGGTCTGGTGCATTGTGGGTCTGGTGCATTGTGGGTCTGGTGCATTGTGGGTCTGGTGCATTGTGGGTCTGGTGCATTGGCCTGATGCATTGTGGGTCTGGTGCATTGTGGGTCTGGTATTAGGGTCTGGTGCGGGTCTGGTACTAAGTTGGTGCATTGTGGGTCTGGTGCATTTGTGGGTCTGGTGCATTGTGGGTCTGGTGCATTGTGGGTCTGTAGTCATTTCCCCCAAAATCACCTATTATTTCCCGCTTTTTCCTCATTTCCAACTGTTCGTCCGGTTTATATAGTTATTTAAATTATATTATATAAATTTATATTATGACCTTAATTTATATTATTTAAAAGTAGTGTTAGTTGTTTTTAGCGAAGATTCACAAGAGAAGAAAGGATTTTAATGCTGCTCGTGTCTGCTAGATTTTCCCGTTTTTTTTTAATTCAGGCGTTAACATTCTCCTTCCCTCTTGCTCTTCTTGTTCCCGCTCCTTCCCTCTGTCCTCTTGTTCCTGTACTGTACGTATCTCAGTCTGCGCTCAGATGAGTGTCCTCACCCCACCACTCAAACACCCCCACCCCCAACCCCACCAGGATAGACGCCCTACGCAGTACTGCAGATAACACTGAGATGCAGCTTGTTATCAGTAAGGTCAGTGAGCGGCGAGTTATCTCGCCTCTTATCTCCGGTAAACACACGATAACAGAGTCGTTATCATAAGTGTCTTTCCCAGAATAACAACAGTGTGATGTTTACATAATTGTGGTGTGTTGGGGTGTGTTAGGGTGTGTTGGGGGGTGTTAGGGTGTTGGGGGTGTGTTAGGGTGTGTTGGGGGTGTGTTGGGGTGTGTTAGAGGTGTGTTGGGGTGTGTTAGGGTGTGTTGGGGGTGTGTTAGGTGTGTTGGGGGTGTGTTAGGAGGTGTGTTGGGTGTGTTAGGGTGTGTTGGGGGTGTGTTAGAGGTGTGTTGGGGGTGTGTTAGGTGTGTTGGGGTGTGTTAGGGTGTGTTGGGGTGTGTTAGGGTGTGTTGGGGTGTGTTAGGTGTGTTAGAGGTGTGTTGGGGTGTGTTAGAGTGTGTTAGAGGTGTGTTGGGGGTGTGTTAGGTGTGTTGGGGTGTGTTAGAGGTGTGTTGGGGTGTGTTAGGGTGTGTTGGGGTGTGTTAAATGATTGTTTCACCTTTTCATATAAAACATGTCTTGTAGTCTTAATAACGAGGTTACTTCCTACACCTTCGGGTCTTTATATCAAGGTTAACCCTACACCTTTAGTTCTTTATATCGAGGCTACACCTTACATCTTCAGTTCTCAATACCGAGGTTACACTATCACTTTGAGGTCCTACTAACGAGGTAATGAAGCTGTTAACTGGAGGTGGGCTTTTAACTACCACTAACTTGTTAAGTAGTTACAATTACCTCGTTGGCCAAACAAGCGTATGACCTTTAGGTGCTCTCAGGGTCGTGTCAGTGAAACTGTGTACCGAGACCCAGATGACCCGACCCGTGTGTGTGTGTGTGTGTGTGTGTGTGTGTGTGTGTGTAATAATAATAATAATAATAATTAACGGTTTATTGAAAGAGCTTGGCAGCCAGAAGGCTGAAAATATACAGTTATTTGGGGAATGGGTTACAATTACAAATAATATACAAGTAACATAAGTGACACAAATAAGTTATATAATAACTAGATGGGGAGAGCTCAAACTACAGTTCATTTCAACATAGTGACAAAGTGAGGGAGCAGTGTTTACTGGGAGTGAATACACTGATTTATTACATGTTATTGATAATTTTACAATGGTTGGGACTGGGCTGTTCTTATACGATCAGTTAGTGCACGTATGGCTGGATGCGGTTGTGGTGTCGAACAGCAATTTGGACAGGGATCTCAGGTGGTAGTAGGGGCCGGTGTCGGGATGGTGTAGAAGTGTGTGTGTGTGTGTGTGTGTGTGTGTGTGTGTAAGATGTCGGTGGACGGAAATAAAGTCAACAAGAAAAAAAGTTAGGTTAGGTTAGTTTAGGTTAGGTTAGCTTTAGGTTAGGTTAGCTTAGGTTAGGTTAGCGAAGTTAGGTTAGCTTAGGTTAGTTAGCAGGTTGTGTTGTTGTGTTGCTTAGGTTAGGTTAGTTTAGGTTAGGTTAGCCAGGTTAGCTTAGCTTAGGTTAGCTTAGCTAGTTAGCTAGCTGGTTGCTTAGCTTAGGTTACTTAGCTTAGGTTAGCTTAGCTTAGGTTAGCTTAGGTTAGCTTAGCTTGATTAGGTTAGCTTGGTTAGGCTAGGTTTTTTCTCGTGCTTTTTCTTGTGACTTTTTTCCCGGATTCAAGATGTCACAGCTCACTCATACAGCCACATTATCTGTATAGCTTTTTGCAAGAATCCGGGTTTGCAATTTAGACGCTGTGGGGTGGGGGAGGGAGGAGAAGGCTTACATGAGGGAAGAGGGGAGGGGCGGGGGTGGGGTGAGAGGGAGGGGGAGGGGGGGAGAGGGAGGGGTAGGGGTAGTGCCGATGTTGCAGGATCAATACAGTCCTCTCTGCTTCCTGATGAAATTTGCAACGCTGGACCTGTGGTGGTGGCTGGGGTAGTGGGGTGTAGTGGTAGGGGTGGTGGTGGTAGGTAAGTGGGGACTGGTGGGGGGGTAGTGGGGGTGGTAGTGGTGGTAGGGGTGGTGGTGGTGGTGGTAGGGGTAGGGGTAGTAGTGGTGGGGAGGTGTTTCTGGTGGGGGGTGGTGGTGGTAGGGGTAGGGTAGTAGTGGTGGGGAGGTGTTCTTCTTGGGGGTGGTAGTGGTGGGGTGGTGGTGGTGGTAGGGTAGGGGTGGTGGGGTGTTTTGGTGGGGGTGGTGGTGGTGTGGGGGTGTTTGTTCTCAGTTCATTGTGTTGTATAATGTTCTCCAAGTGGTGACCAAATGTTCTTCAGTATGTTCATGTGTTATTAAGGTGTTCTTTAAGGTGTTATAGAGGAGGGAGTAGGATCTGTTCTTCCCCTCTTATCTCCCCTCACCCCTTTCCTCCCCTCTCCTCCCCCCTCTCACTCTTCTTATCCAAACCTCTCATTTAACCCTCCTCTCACACCCTCTTTCAAACCCTTCCCTTACCCTCCCTTTCTCTCCCTCCTTCCCCTTCCCCACCTTCCCAACAGTAAGGGAGACAAGAGAGA